ACTTTGTCCACACACACACACACACACACCTTCATGGAAAACTAACTTTATTATTTTATATGAATTTTGTCAGCTTTGGAGTTTTGTTTAGTTATATGAAGAGAAGCAGTAGTCCAGCAGAAAAATTACAAAAGCCCTGAATGCATATAAGAAGCTCACTGAAAATAAAGTTTTTGTAGACTGTCTATTAGTGAATAGAGGCAATGCCCAACAGTTCAAGACAGAGAAGTTATTCTGTGATCCATGTGGGAATACAGGGAAGGTATTTCAGCCATTCAAAATCTGCCTGATTTCTCCGGCCACTGCTGTCCACTGAAGCGGATAGGGTGGAATATGAGGACCCCAAAAGTGTCCAAGATGGGTGTCCACTGAAGCGGATAGGGTGGAATATGAAGACACCAAAAGTGGCAAAGATGGGGGGGAAAACCCATGTTTGAAACCTCACACTTATCCTACAAGATCACAGCCCCCATCTTGGGATTTTCCTTCACCTATCCTGAAGCATCAACAGTTGGTCAGGATGATGTTGAGACTTTTCTATTTGCCTTCCCGAGCCGCTTTGAAGAAGAACTCTGCATGACTTGAAAACCAGCCTGATTTATATAAACGATTTAGTACTCCAACACAAGTCTTAAAACCTTCCACCCTTATTTTAGATTTTGCACAAAACCCATATGGGGCTCCTTTTCTTTTTAAATCTTCTGTTGGGTTTCATGCGACCGATTCGTCTTTTGGGCCACTGCCCTGTACATTTATGGGTGGATTCTCCTTAAACAATGAAGGGTGGGTTTAAAATGTTTTAATAAAATATTAAAAGAAACCTAACAACACTTTTGCCTCTGTGCTCAGTTTACCTTGATTTTTTTTTAAAAAGCACCAAATGTCACTCCAGACCAGAAAGATCACCAAAATTTCCTCCAAGTACACCCATTACAACATCCGTTAGCCCCTCTCAGCATGGCTCATGAGAAGACCTGCGAGGAAATGTAGTTCAGACCTGTGGAGGGTCAAACCTAGCCCCATCCCTACCTTAAGCTTTGAAAAGGTGTTGGCTATTCAACAGAGCTGCTTATTCGGAAGGAGGATTTAAAAAATAATTCTTACTGGTGTCCCTATTGTCTCTCCTCTCAGCTAGAGAAGGAAACGGGTCAATAATTTAAGCTCAGTGTTTGGTGATCTAGCATCTGTGCCTTCAAGACAGAATCTAAACACATTGGCCATGAACTCAAACCATCTGAGTTTGCTTTGAAAGCCCTACTAAGGTGGCTATGGGTTGGTTACAATCTGAAGGCATGTCAGCCCATAGCGGTCTAGGCACACTCTCAAATGCTGTGCTGGATTGTTCAGAGACGCTCCAGACTCATAAAACTGAGCCATTAAATCATCCAGTGACCAGGCAAGCTAAGAATGGATAGTTTTGTTCCCGAGGCCTTTACAGCTTTGCCATCACGTGGAAGCAGATCAGCAGGGTTTTTCACATCCAAATGACAGCAGCTACCACCAGATGGGAGGTATGGACACATGGATTTTATTAATTTATTTATTATATTTACATTATTTAGATGGATATGCAAGGGATGGCCCTAGTGCTCAGCAGGCATCACAGGCAGTAGATTTCAGGTGCAAATGGATGTCATATCCAGTTAGCTTTTCTTGTGTTTTAGAGGTATGGACCTCACACAACAGAATCATTTGGCTGTCTGGGTTCCATTTGCCTTGACTTCAGGTGGAATGTCTCCCTGAACAGGGAAGATTCGGGCAAGCCCTCTAAATACTGTATGCCCCGATTCCACAAGACAGTCGAAAAACCACCGCTTGCAAGTCTGCTCAATTCAGCTTCAGATATTACAGATCCTGAACATTTTGCTTTGTGAACTATAACTCCTTTGTTCTGGGGGCGGTGGTCCCAAATAGTAATTCTTTCCAAACTCTGAGACATTCGTTTCTCTAATACAATAGAGAAGAGGAAGTATTCAATCCTCATGGTTTTCCTGAAGAGTGAGTGAGTGAAGCATCAGAGTTCAGAAAAATAGACTCACAAAGTTCCCATTGCTCTGGAGATTTAAACCTCTCTGAATAACGTTGCCCGGTCAGTTGTACTCCGCTCCTTGCGGAGATGATAAGGCAGTTTTGAGTAATCTGTACCTAGACTTTTGAAGAACCCCAACAGACTGTCCATGCCACATGGTCTGCCCTTTCCCCCCCGCTATGCTATTTTGCCACCTTCAAGGGCTCATCTTCCAAACCAACAAACCTAGGTGCAGGAAATGAGCAGGGAGCAACGCCTTGGGCTTGGACTCAGGCAGCAAAATGTCTTAGGACAGCTCTGCTTCCACTCCATGTTTACACAGTGTTTCTTGTATACAAGCAAAACCAAAAACTACAACAAAACATTGCACTGGGAGACACAAACAAATAATACAAGGAGGAGGGATTTTCCCCAAAGAGACCATCCATCCATCCAGTTCACACATGCATGTTAAAACATCCAGTGCTTGTAACCTCAATGAATAATTTGCCTGTTGAAAAACCTGCCACAGATCCAGACCTCCTCAACAAGGCTGTCACTGTCTCAGATGTCCCTGTAAAACAGTATGTCTGGATAATGACCACTGTTGTACAATGACCACCCATCGGTAAAGTCAACTTACTACAGGCCTACAGTTGGTTTTCCTTCCGAACAATACATGATAGAGCATAAGGGGGGAGGGGGGGACAAAAATTGGATTTCAGTTCCCAGAATCAACCGTGAGGCTGAAAAAAGGAATCTCAAAAACAGAGTCAAGTTTCTGATTTCTCTCTGTGTCTCTCTCTCTCTCACACACACACACACACACACACACACACCCCTCTTTATGGGCTAAGCAGGCATCTTCATCTTCAGATGCAGAACCTGCATCCACAGCAGACAAGACACCCAAGTAACAACTCCCATCACTCCCCCCCCCCTTTTTCAAGGGTACGGACAGAGGCAAAACTCACAGACACAGCAGGGAGAGAAGCACAATGTTATGAGATGGCTGCATTCAGACAAGACAGCGAAAAAGGTACATCCATACCCATGGTGAGGCCTCCAAAGCTGCTCAGAAGCCGTTATTTCCACAGCAAGCAAAAAGAGGAGTGGATTGCCAGGAGTGGTCCTAGCCTGCAGCGATTTCGGGGGAAGCCTGCTGCTTTCAGGGGCGGTAGTTTTCATTTTTTTTTTATTTTTTGCCCCTCTCCCCAGAGTTCCTCCCCTCCCCTTCCAGGTTGCAACCGAATCTCTCCCTTTTTGCTTAGCCACTCCTTCCTTTCTGTTTCCATATTCTGTCTCTAGACATTCAGGGATAGACCTATAAATTAACAGCCACCAGCGGATGCCAGCTTAATCCTCAGTTGACGTAGCTCCAGCATCCTTCACAGAGATGAAAACTCTTGTGTCAAGAAGGGGGGGGGAGTCACTTCTTCCAGCCAAACTGCTTTGGAGGCAGATCAACAGGATGGCCTGATTCCAAAAGAAGTGGGGGGGGGAATGTCATCACACGTTTTATCAACATTTGATAGACCCAGAGCTCAACACTCTTTCCCCCGTCAACGTTAGCATTAGGAGAAGAAAGCTGTTCTAGGAAAGTGTGAGAAATTCACTTTTTGTTCTTTTTAGGAAGGAAGGAAGACACTTATGTAAAAGTATACACAGGTTTGGTGTTGTTTTTTAACAAATAAAAACTTGAGATCTCACAATTCCTCCTCTGCCCCTGTGAAAATTCTTTCTACCTTTTGACCTGTAAAGGGTCTAATGTTTTCAAGTCCGTGTTAAATCATCTAGTTCAATTGGCTTATTCCTAGGATTTTTCTCCCCATTTTTCCATAAAGTAAGTTTACAGACAACCATCACCATAGTTACTCAATTATAATGAAACAATAAACAATAAGCCATTATAGAAAGTAAAACACAAAAAGAGCACAGAAGCAACAAAATATTTTCAAGTTTCTTTAACCCACTTTCCTGAAATGAAACCCATCTTTGCTGCTCCTCAAGGACCAAAGAAACCAATTGGTATCTTGTGTTTAGATAATTACAGATACCTACAGAAACAGGTACGCTTGCGTGTAAGACAGAGAGAATATCTCTTGCTGAATTGACAGAATGAATCATAGATAAGCCAGACCTTTGAAGTTAAATTTTGGGTTCTTTTGAGAAAAGATGGGAGGGTGGCCAAGAAGCCTGGCTCAAGGGAGCGTTCTACTCCTGCAATACAACCCCCCTTGAAGTCAGATGTGACTTCATAGTTCCAGAGATCTCTCTTCCTTGAGAAAGCCCAGAGAGGCCTTATATAGAGGACATTTCAGCAGCTATAGCTTGCATGACTCATAATAATGTCCCATCCAATCAATTCTGACTGATACAATCATGGCTAGGCGTAAAACACTCAGACGTGGTTCACCATTCCCTTGTTCTGCGGGTTCCTTTGGATTGTGAACCTCTCTAAGGCTATACAAGTTGGCTCTTTTTCCTGGGATCAGGAATTCTCAACCTGTGGCTCTGAAGCCAGGCAGCTAACTCACTGAGCTATTATATCCCTGCTGAAATTCCTCCTTCTGCTCAAATCAGAAGTACCCATTCTCTGTTTCTTCAGAACTTCCAAGTCAACAGACATCTTACAAGGGGAAAAAATTATATCCAAGTGGCTGCCCTGTCATCTTTTATATATATCCACCTTAGATGAGAGACGGAGAAAGAAAGAGAGAGAAGGAAAGAAAGACAGCCCACGAAGATACTAAAATGTGTTAGAATAAATAATCTTTTTGGGGGGCCTGCAGACGTGCTGCTGAACACATTTAAGAGGCGCAGGGTTTTTAAGCACAGGCTGGAAGTGGTTCTCACAAAATAGCATCAGAATACTACCATGACGTGAAGGCAAAAGACAGAAAGAAGAAACAGTATGAACATTAGCAACAAGTGGAATTCTCCCACCATGACCATCTATTACACAACAGAAAAGAAGAAATCTTGGGAGTACCTGAAGGTAGACTTCGGTGTGAAAGGGACATGCAGGTTGCATTCATTTCTGGAAGACTCATTCTGAGGTTTCAGTAAACTCTCTAATTCAACCCGTAACCTTTTTTTCCACTTGTAGATGAAGTAGCTGTGTTGGTCTGTGCAAGCATTATAGATAAGGCTGGATCTTGGGGTTCTACTAAAATCATAAAATCAAGCCTGCAATATATCCAGCACTACTTTAGCAGGCATTTGATAAAACAGAAGCTAGGGGGAAAATACTTGGGTTTGGTAAGATAATCATCCTCACCTGTTAATCACTACAGGTGGAGGGAATGCTGGGAGTCTTAGCATGTGAAATGAATTCAAGCGTTAGCAAGCTTAGCTATATGAAGTTTAAAGGGGACATTTGGGGTTTTTTTGCTTCTCCTTTTTTGGCTGGACATCTGTGTCTTTTTTAAAAAGTTTTTTTTTCCTTTTTAAAGAATGCGATGTACAGAAATTTGGCATGTATTTTTTCCCAGGACACAATTACAGTGTTGGGAAAGCTCTGCCTGCTGTATTTCTGAATCTGTTAAACTGAGGATTTGAGACACAGCAATTATGGAGGGCTGGGAAAGGGGGAAGGAAGTGGATGGCCTTGGGCAAAAAATAAAAAAACAAGCCATTCCAGGATGCTGATATTTTCATCTATGCCCTTCCTCAATAATGACCCTGTGAAATGGATTCAGCTAAAAATCAGGGCTCTCACCCAAAGCTGGTGTGGTCTCTATGGGCAAATGGACCATTTTAACCAGAGTATTTTCATGCTCTGAAATTATGTGCCTCAAACTGCTGTGAAAGGCTCAACTTCTAATTATTTTGTCACTTGCAGTTTAATTCAAACCGTTTCTTTTCCTCCTCCTAAACCATCATCACCATCATCATGTGTCATCAAGTCGGTTCTAACTTACAGAAATCCTTTTCAGAGTTTTCTAGGTAAAGAACACTCCAAAGTGGTTTCCCATTTTCTTCTGGGGTCATTCTGGGACTGTGCAGCTTGCCCAAGGCCACACAGGCTGGCTCTACTTTGGAGGAGGCGCAGGGAAGAACTGAATTCCCAACCTCTGGCTCTGCAGCCAGAGGCCTGAACCACTGAACTATCCAGCCAGCCAATGAGCCTAAAATGCAATAGTAGAAGTATAGGATTAAGACTCAAGAAATCTGAATTGCTATCCCAATTAACTTCTGTAAGATTACTCTCAGAACACACAACATAGCCACAAACTTAGCTTACTATTGTTGTTCATAAAAGTGTTTTTAAAAGAATGAAAAAGGGTGATATATAATTCCTATTTAGATAGCTTAGGCTTTTCATCAAGCTTTCAAACAGTTCAGACAAAACCCTATGATGTATTTTGTTTCAGCTTCAATATCGATAATGTATTTATTGGAAAAATGTTCTCCACCAGCAATGGTGAAATCATGCCGAAAAATTACAAAAACGTCATGGTAAGTTGCTTTATAAAAATAAATGGAAGGATTACACCAACATGATTTGTTCCTGGTTCCCCTCAAAAGTGTCAGTTTTTCTCACATCCTTACAGTAGGATGGCAGGAGTTCTGTTTTTCTCTGAAGTGTTACAGCCTTAGCAAACGGCCTTCCATTCAGAAATAACGGTTCTGCGGCCAGAGAGCAAAAGGCTTTGATGAGTACCTTCTCCAAGTCACTCTTGAAATAAATATAGAAAATAGCCTCTAATGAAAAGGTTTGGTCAGTTTAAAAGAAAATAAAAAGAGGTCTGTTCCCTGCCCTTTCCGAGCCAGGGAGCAACCGATCAATTTTCTTAAATAATGATTCAGTCTTTGGTGAATTCAGCTACAGGTACTGGAAACGATAATTTCTATCTCATGATTCACTGACTTCCTTGTTTGTCCTGAACCAAAGACAGCACAATGGAGTTGCTAGTGCCAAGTCAATCAAAGGCCAGCCATGATCCATCTTGATCCGTGCTGATCGCAGGTCCTTGGAGCAGCCAGAAAAACGCCGTCTTTGGCAACCCTGGTCAAACCGAGGGTGTCTTTGGTGGGTGGCCCTGCTGGACAATTTGTGGCCGTTTGACCCGGGGCTTCCTTCTCTTCGGGCGGCTCTTCGCTTTGATCTGCACCACAAAGAACGCCAGGACTACCATGGCACCAAGGAACGCAAAGACAGGTATTGTCCCTCCCACATCCTGGTTGTAGCGGCCAGGCATTATTCCTGTACAAGGGGAAAAAGGGGGGGGGGATGTAGTTGTAGCGGCCAGGCATTATTCCTGTACGAGGGGAAAAAGGGGGGAATGAAAATACATAGGCAAAAATAAAATAAAATTTGCCTCTTTATGCATCCACAAAAGGGACTCACAGCTTCTCTGTAGAACAACCACAGAGCTACTGATTTCAGCCAAGGGGCATTTCTATGTGGTGCCCCCTTTAAGCCCAACCCTGAAAAGCACAGAAAGTTTGGCCTGACGTACATCTCCACCACGCCGATGCACCAATTTATAAACTAAAATTAGGGCAGCCACCTGCATTTTGCACAGCCCTGGGGTTCCTTGTAACAAACCCAACCTTCCACTTTGTCCCATATTCCTACGTTGAAAATGCCCAAACAGAAAAGTCCTGGCCAGACATGTCAGACTACTGGGGACAGCAAAATATGCATTATTTTAACTTTCCTGGATTGATTCAACTTCACTGATGATACCAAGTGGGCAGACGAGGAGGTCAACCAAAGCGACTGATCAGCCAAGTTTGAGTTTCAACTCTATGGGAGTGAACCAGCGGAACACCTTGGGTTGCCCGTGGACATGCCATGGGTAATTTTTCCTTGTGAGCAGCCACTCCGTGACAGTGCCCACAATGCCCTTCTAAAATTCCAAAAGTGTTCATCAGTTCAAAGAATTCGGGGAACTCTGAAGAGGGTTAAATAAAGCTGGGAAGTCTGAGAATCACTATTTCTAGTACAGTATATAAAAAACTAGAAATTGCTTCTGCTGGAAGAGTCACTTGCAAATTTAGCCAGGTGTGTTTGCAGTAATAATGCCCACATATTAAATAGGCATAAATATGGTGCCATCTGGTAGCCTAGGAAAAAGCTTTTTTTAAAAGGAAGTCAGTGGACGACTTCTTTAGAGTTGTGTACGCCTGTGTCTAATTTAGAGCCCATCGTAAGCAATGTCATTCAGAGGCCTACCTCCGGGAATATCCCACGCTCCACTTTCTCCGGGCGACAGAGGCCTCACTTGGGGTCGACTCTGACGGAAACTTGGTAAAGCCACTTTATCCAGGTCAATGGATAATAATTTCTGATGCTTCCAAAGATTGCTGGGGGAAAAAATTAAAGCACAGAAAACTATTCATACCTTGGGCTGTTAGTCCATCTAGATGGCTGAATATCTAAAATGAAACAATGGGTTCAACCCCACATTCACCCCAAGCAGAGTGGGCACACTGGAACGAAGGGGATGTATTTATTTATGGGTCAACCCTAATGCAAGTACTTCTGCCTAGCTGAGAGTGAAACTGGACAGGCCCCAATGAGCTTAATGAGGGGTGACCACTGTATTGCCTTTGGTAGTATCAGGGTCCCCAGCTAATGACCTGAGATATGTCACGCAGCGATTCAACCTTGATAAGCTAGAATGGCATGGCGGGATGAAGAAACTCCAGAGAGATTCACAACACCAGTCAAAGCAGCTTCCAGAGTGGTTTACAAAGCCACAGATCAGGCTTGTTCCTTAGCTCAAGAACGAATGGAAGACCTGCTTTTGCTGGCTTGGCATCTCCACTAGCTTTGCACCTGGCCTGCCTTCCACAGCAGCTAAATTCAGGTCCAAGGCAGAGATTACAGAATCATAAGTAAGTGGGCGGGTGTTGGATTACACCCAGCAGTTGGGTCCCTCCACTCTGAAAATACAAGGCTGGCTGCATCCCAGAGATTTGCTTCTGTCTTGCCTTAAGAGGAACACCGAGGTTCCTGAGGCTACACAGAGAGGACTTACAATGAAACAACACAACTCTTGTTCAAACAAAGCTCTAACCTTCCTGCTAACTTTTTCTCCTCTCCGTTATGTAGGTAGGTTCAACTAACAGCTAAGCATCCATGCATCCATCCATCTAGCTATCAAAATTCTCTGTGAATTTAATGTATTAACCAATAGTTTATACATTAAAAGCCAAAACAATAGACTCTGAAAATAATGTCAGTTATTATGTATTTGCCCATGTCTGAACATTTCTTTCAAAGGCACAGTGATAATGTCACGTTACTTCCAGAACCTGGCATAGAGCACACTGATCAAACTTCAAAAGGAAATCTTATTGTGAGATTTTAGAAAAATCAAAAAGCACAACCTGGGAGCTGTTTCATTCAGAGGCTGTGGCTTTGCCCAGGACAAATGAGGGCATGCTGGAAGGGAGCGGGGCTTGGGGTCACGCAGATGAGCCTCGAGGACTTTGGAGTACCGATGGAGGTGGTTACCTGAAATTCCACAAACAAAAAAATTACACCCGAGGTCCCTTTCTAATTTGTTATAAGCAAAACATCTCGTCTCGTCCTCCCCCGTATTACATGGTAGGACACAGCATGGGGAAGACACACGCCGATCCCAATCTGCAAATCTGCTGACAGTCTCCTGATTATGTATTTTTCTCTGACACGTTTTCCATTTTTAAAGCTGAATTTCTCAAATTAAAAAAAAATTATTCAAGAAAAATTAGGTTCACACAAAACTTTGATTGCTTTTGAACAGCAAAAAAAAATCAATCCCATTAACCATGCTTTTTTTTCTTCTTTTTTTTTTCCAGATCAAAAAAATTCATGTCAAAACCTAACATGACACTGGAACATTTATACATTTTATTTAGTAAAAATGGTAAAGAAAACATGCTAAACCAGATCACATTCTACTGGAATAGATTCCAATTCAAACCCTTCTGGAAAACGGACTTCACAAACTCCAGCACCCAATGACTCACACCCAAACGTTTGACCGGAAGGGATGGGAGTAGCTACAGACAGAGAGTGTAGCCAAATGTGTGGGACCATCAAACTGAAGTCTACATTAATCTATTCCTCCTTCACCCTCCTCTACATTCCTCTCTCCATTTTTAGGCCTTTACTAGCTCAGCTAAGGGATGAAAGAAGCCAATGTCCATTGGGGGGGGAGTCTTATCAACTCATTCCATATCAAATTCCACCAGCTCCTTCTGTGAACATACAAACCAGACTCACCTTCCATTCGTTCTGGAAGGGTATAGCCTGCACCCGTTGGAGGCCGCTGCCTGTTTTCTGAATGACTGAGGCCTGGTGGCACCACTCCGTAAGATGTGTACTGAAGGAGAGAATCGAGAAGCCAAAAGCAATCTGGAATTTAAATATATATATATATTTTTAGAAATCCTGCGAAGGCTTTGATATCTCCCTGTAGGCAGGGCACACATCAGTTGTGAATGTTAACTATATTTCCTGAGATATGGTTTTCAGAAGGCAGTGAGCCATCCACTTCCTTTGACATACTGCAGGCCCCCTGTATCAGAAGGAACAGCTAGAAGAGAGAGAATTACAGCAGAAAGAACCCCAAACATACGGTGTGGAGGCCACTCAGAACATCGTCAAAGCTCCAGCTGGCTTTGAAGGCAGCCAGAAACAGAAAACTACATGCATGGCCATTAAACTGGACAGGCAGCACAAAACACGAGACTATCTGGTCTATCCATTCTGTGTATACACTGACTAACCTGCTGCCTCTAAGAAGCCCAAAAGCAGGACTTAAGTGCACCTCCAGGTCACACTTCTCCCTGCTTGATGCTTGGAAGCTGATGGTTTCTCAGACTCAAGGTAACATTATACAATATTACCGAAGAGCAGCTGCTGGTGCCCTAATTTCCAGGGATCTGCTTCCAACCATTGCGGAATTCAAAGACAGAACAAAGCATGCTTTTCTCCTTTCTTAGCTGGGATGCTACTCTGTCGTGAAGGATGAAGAGACGTAGAAAAAAACTGTACTGAAAACTGTATGGTTCATTAACAAAATGGCAAAAAAGATGGCCCAAGGCAGAATTATTACTGTGGGCCGAAGTTTGGGACTGGTGGAAAAGGAATATATTCCTTAAGGTTTTGCTTTTTTGTGATAATCTATTCGATTTCGGTTTTAATATTATATTTTGTTTTCTGGCCAGAGAGGTTTTGTCAAATTTATCCAAGGTCTTCACATAAGCCACCTTGGGTCCCACGAATAAGAAAGGCAGGAGACAAAGGTGGGGGAGGTGAGGTTTGATGTTAGTTTGGAGAGCTGCGCATATGATTGTTAACCACCCAGAGTAGGGCTTTGCACTAAATCGGGCAAAATAAAAATAAAAGGAAAACTCTGCAGATCACGCAGACTTCTAGGTCTCCATCTCTTGGAAACCGGAGCTGGAAGTACGAGCCTTTTTCGACCACTTCAAAGGCATTTTCCTACCCTTCCCACCCGCCATGGCTGTTTGGTGGGAATGGGAGTTAATCTCCATAATCCTGATGTCACTGAAAGGCTCACCTTTGGTTCTTTCTTTCCCTCCAGAGATCAGACACATTTTTTAGGATTTGCAAATCATATATATGTGAAGAATTTTAAACACAGCTAACTAAGCTCACTGCTGTCAGGGCAGGAGACGATGCTTCCAGTCCACACAACGAAATTCAAGGCTGATGTCACGTTCAAAGCTTACCTACAAATATCCTTTGCCTGCCCTAAAATCTCCAGACAAATGGTGGGAAGAACCTATACTAAATTAAACAGCATCCTTAATGTGGTAAAAGGCACATTCTTACTAGACATGGGCATGAACCAGATAACCAGTGGTTCGTGATCACAAAGCCCCGAAAACAAAATTAGTTTGTGGTTTTGGTTTTGAGTTTGTGCCAGAGAACGTCCAACCGACGGCCCCTTTCCCACTGACCCCCTTGCCGACCTCTGTGGGGGCACGTGCGCACATGTAGACGCCGGCTCCTCCTGGAAGGGGAGCCACTCTCCTCACTGTCTCCACCATGGCAGGTGACCGGGGGGGTGAGGTGGGAAAGGGGACAGGCCTCTGTTTTGCCAAAGCAAAATTAAGTGCCGAGGGGGGGGGGAAGTTTGGTGCTTCATTTTGCTTCCGCAAAACACAACCCCTGAACTGGAAACCAGCCCAGTGGGTTCCTCAGTTTTTCTGGTTCGTGGTGGAGTTCGCGCCCATCTCTACTTACACAAAGGGCAACGCCCATGTCTATGGCAGGATCGACTCATCTACACCCTCAAAAGTTAAACCATTTCTACTCAAGCAGCCTATGAAACCGCCCTAAATCAGCAAAATCGCAATGCAAGTGCCATTCTTTCAGATACTCAGGGGTAGAATGAAGCAGATCTGATTGGTTTTATAGGTTTAAACAAAATTTCACAGAGCCTCTGAATGAATTAGGAACAATAAGTCAGTTTAATTAATTGCAAAAGAAATATATATAATATTATCACTGCTCTTAGTTTTAAATTGCCCTCAAAATGATAATCCTGAATCCTGCATTGTCATATTCCAACCTAAGTTTGTTCCCCAATAAACATGGTATATTTGATGACCTTCCCTAACACTAATAAATTTTAATTGAATATGTACCATGTCCTAAATCTTTAAATCTGTTCTGTAATTAATGAAGTATTTGGTAAGCTGGGAAAGAACTGCTGCCTAGTAATACTAATATAATGGACTAAAGTGATTACATTATGTGGCTCTAATTATTTTTGTCTACTTCTCTCTGTCTGTCTCTCTCTGTCTGTGTGTGTGTATTCATGTGCATTTGTGCATGTACACATATTCCTAAAACTTGTGGCTATGCACAGGTATTACTGTATGATTAATGCTTAGCCAAAGTATCACATAAATATGAGAAATCAATCAACTGGAGGTACCGGACATGGTAGGTTTGTAAATGCAAGTCCAAATTACAACTATGGTGAGAGTGAGCTACTGCCTAATAATACTTAGTGTGAAAACTAAAACAGGTGAATTGCAAACTGAAGGGATCAAATAACATCTGGAGTGGACAGGAACAAGGGGTTAGAAAACACACTGGAAGAAATAACTGGGGAATTATACTGGGAGGTTCCATCAAACCTTCTATTGTTCAAAATATCTAATCTTCTATGAATATTTTTCTTAAACTCGAAGTAAATCTGGTCAAGGTCTGGCTGAAGTTGCTCCACAGGACAAGAAAAAAAGAAGACAAGAAAGGAGGGCAAATCCGTGAAGTAGAATACTGGAAACAATACAAGATTGATCATTTAAACCTTGAGAAATCTGCTGGGAGATTTGTTCCTTGTTACACACAGATAAGAATACTTCAAGGCATTCTCAAATTATGGATTCCAGACAAGTACAAACCTAATGCTGCCTCTGGTGACAAGGTTAATGTACACCATATGCCATACATACCTTTCTGTCTGTGGCTGTCATCCAAGCAATTGGAATCACCATACAGAACTATTCTGCCCCCACCTTCCGAGGGGACTTGGTACAGACCCAAAATGGGGACATTTTCTATTATTGCTGTCTCCTGCTTTAAAACTTCAAGACCTAGTTTCAAAATAAATAAATAAATAAATCAACAAAAAATAGGTGGAAAGGAAGTGTCAGACAGCAAAATCCTATTGATTTTATGGAACTGAAGTCAGGAGAAAATAACCGCTAGCCTCAAACCGGCCTGTTGTTGTGTCCATACTGGGAGTGATGGCTTAGTACTAACTCCAGCCAGTATCCTCATCCTCGTTTTCTTAGAACTGTAGAGCTGGAAGGGGCACCCTCTGGATCATCCAGTCCAGCCCCTGTCAAAGGAGGCACCATGGGGGAATCAAACTCCCAAACTCTGGCTCCACGGCTAGAGAGATAGACCCTTGAGAGCTATCCAGGAGCTCTGGCCAACTTCAGACCAGGGGTTGGAAACCTGCCTTTCAAAAGCTAACTCTTTAATTATTATGGGGGAGGGGGTGGGGAAGGTAGGTCAGGATAAGATACAATTTGGGACAAAGACAAGTCAAATTTTAAGGCAACCCAACAGAAAAGTTTTCAAAACTCTTCTCCCAACCATGTGGGAGTGGGAAAGGGGACGGAGGGGGTCTGGCAAGCTTAGGGTGAGTCCGCGTAGGGTGAGTCCAGGGTCCTTCCGACAGACGTTGCTGGGCTGCTCCATCCAGCATTTCTTGTGGCTAATTGGGCAAGCAGAAGTTGCCCTCTAGCAATATGGGCAGGGCCATATTTCACTCACCTCTGGTGGAACAGATGGGCTCTCAACCTTGCATCATTCGATGCTGGCAGACTACAACTCCCAGAAACCCTGCTGATGGCTTCCCCTGCTGGGACCAGTGATTATTCTGGGAGTTGCTGTCTGCTAATGTCTGGAGCCTCAAGGTTGGGATTCACCACCTGATCGTGACATGAGAAGACACCTCATTACAGCAAGGAGGATGAGCTGTCTTTATGGCCACTGGGCTCTCAAATCTGCCTGCTGATGTCCCCCTGGGTTCTACGTCTCCTGAAAGAACCAATGAGGCTGATTTCTGACGCCAGGCGTCGTTCCCGGTGAAACATCCACCACCGCGCAGTGATCAAGTGCAATTGTGTGAAACGGCACAGCGGAAGTCTTTTAGACTTATCTGCTCTTTTGAAGGCTTTGTAAATGGTTGATTGGGATTTAAGCAAGCTTCAGTAGTCCTGGAAGACCAAATACAATACCACCAAATTGCCAGCATGCTTCCTTTTGTTTCAGTAGAAGATAAGGGCAAACCGTGCGTAGCAAATGAATGAAAGAAATGAGTTTTTCCCCCATTAACAAGTACTTTTTTCATTAACAAGCACAACTTTCTGGTTTATCAACAGTCAAATTAATGGTTTGTAAAAAATGAAAGAAGGAAAGCTCATTTTGAGGATTAAAAAATGACAAATTTGATCACATTGTCCTTTCTTCATTATTACAACGAATTCTAACAAAAGACCCCACTCCAAAATTGAACGGGGAAAGAATCACACATGAGTGTTTGGAATGCGGGTAGGAGTTATTTATTTAACAGTAGCTCCCTTTTTCTTTTCTTTCATGACGAGGAATGGGGAAGAAACTTGTTTTGTTCCCGTTTTAATCTGAGCTCACCTCATTCGTACCTCTCAAGTCAATTTGTGACTAAAACTACAGCCACAGAGTTCGCATTTCTCTGAACTTCAGGACATAGTTCTCCAAATTAAAAATGCAAGAAGCCTGTTATTAGTGGAAAGTGTACACAAACACTTTCTTGTTTGTGAAAATATTTAGGAATGTGCTAAAATAGGAGAAGCTGCTTACAAAAATACTAGAGATGGGATATTCATATACAAATACGAATATCTCTCACGCTGATGGCCGGGAAGTCCAGTCCCGTCTCCCTGAACCGACCTGCCCACTTATGGGGCACCGCGCAGTGTAAGTGGCCAGCGTTCTGCTTGTTGCGCCCATCTCAAACGTAGCCCTGCTGGGCTTTCTCTGCCTTCCTGCTCTTCTGGTCACTTCAGCCAGGGGGCGGAATGACGAATCTCCCTGCTCCGCTGCTGAGTGGCCAGAAGAACAGGAAGGCGGAGAAGCTCCAGGCCGGCAACGTTTGAGATTGGCACAATCACCAGCTGTGCATGCTGTGTAGTGGACAGGTTGAGGAGGCGAGACTGGGGAACCTGACGAGGGATTCATTTGATTATGAATACCCCCATCTCTTTAAAAAAAAAGCATATTGGGCAAACCTGGATAACTTACATTAAAAAATTGCATATTAATGTATGTACTTTAAGAGAAATGGATCTAACTATGTATACATATTTCCAAAACCTTTTTAAAAAAATCATAAACTAATGCAGAAATAGAAACAAAATATTTTCAGTACAAAGCAAAGCCATTTACAAATTGAAACTGAAAAGCAAAACTATTACAAATTGAAACTACTCAGTTGCTTTTTTGGACTCGCGCATCTAGAACAAGTACTCCCTTTTGACCTTCCAGCAGTCTGATTTCATACATTTGACCCTTTCCTCAAGCCTCGTGTTCCCTACTGTCTTTGCCTGGTGAAGACTGAGAAATCAAAAGCTCACCTAATCTGTTATTTTTAGACACGCAACAAACCTTATTCCCTACCTGAGAAGTGTTTAGACTTCTAAACAAGTATGGGAGCAAAGATGAGGAAGTGCGTTCTAAGATGAACGCTTTTACATGTGGAAGCCCCCGCCCAGAGACACCTCTGAACCCCACAGGAAGAATTAATTTAATGTGTGTATCTAGAGCCATCTGGAGCACACAGAGACATCTAGATTCTCTTACAGGGAGACAATCCAGGACTATGTAAAGAAATAAATGAAATGAAATAGAGGCACATACCTTGATCCTTAAAGGTCTGTGCAATCACAATGCCATCTTCTGGAAACTTTGCAATACTGCATCCGGAGGCATAGTTCACTGTGCAGAGGAGAAATACGCCATTACTTTTCACGCGTTAACTTGAAACCAGGTGCCAAAAATATGAAAGGGCATTGAAAGCAGCTGCTCAGCAAGTCACATGGAAACCTGACATCCAGTGTCAAAATGGAAACAATACTTTCAAAAAATAAATAAATAAACCAGTCCTTACAACTTGCAACTCCCTCTTAAGAGTTGTTGGGGCCCTGTCAGGAGAAGGCTCCTGTGCCTTTAACTGAGGGGAGGGTCATGTGTGGCCCCGGGTCCACAGGCAGCCCCCAAGACCCATTCTGTGGCCTCCGGGCCCTCCTCTCTACCTCTCTGTTTCTGCACCAAAAAAACCTACATAAGCAGCCAATCCAGAGAGCCTCCAGGATTCACCTTTCCAGTCATTCACACAAAGCCTTGCCTACCCAGCCGTTCAGACCGAAAATAATAACAACAATAATAATAAATCTTCACTTTTCAAATCCGTTTTGAAAGCCACTTCCAGTGCTTGTTGTTGTTTCTCGGCGTTTTTTTTTAAAAGTCTTTGCATTCCCCCAAGAGTCCCATGGATAGAAAACCGGCCCTAGATACACCCATGTTGTGTGCCCCTGCTTTAACTCTTGGATTCTATGGGTATCTAACCATGTAACCTCCCTTGAAGGCGTACTGGTGTACTGAACCAACAGTATTCCAAGTTGTGCAAAGCTATTCATTACTAATCAAAGAGAAGGATGGCAGCAATGCTACTGTCCTCTATTCCACCACACATTACGTCACACAGGCTGAAGCCTAATTTGGCAAATAGTATGCCTAAGGATGATTGCACCTCCCCATGCCATGCATGGGGGGAAAAACTCTGGCATAGGAAACGGAGGGCTCATTGCAGACATAATCCTAGCAAGGCTGTTATACTCTAGAGCAGTGGTCCTCAACCTTGGGCCTCCAGATGTTCTTGGACTTCAACTCCCAGAAATCCTGGCCAGCAGAGGTGGTGGTGAAGGCTTCTGGGAGATGTAGTCCAAGAACATCTGGAGGCCCAAGGTTGGAGACCACTGCTCTAGAGCAGAGTTTTTCAAGCTTAGGTCCCCAGATGTTCTTGGACTGCAATTCCCAGAATTCCTGGCCAGCACAGCTGGTGGTGGCGAAGGTTCTTGAGAGTTTGAGTCCAAGAACGCAAGGTTGGGACGCAAGGCTGGGAAACACGGCTGTAGTAGTGTATCTCTCTTAAGGCTTCATTCCCAGGCAATGGCTGCACTCCAGCTCCCAGCAGGACTAACCACCACAATCATGGGTTAAGAGATGATCATTGTCTGGGGACTGAAAGTTAAGAAAGGCTGCCACAGGACCCCTTGAAGGCTCCTCTTGTTATCTGCCCCAGATGATAGGGAATTACTCCTATGGTACAGCGCTCCATCACAAGCTCCCCTCCATCTGCACTCTGCAAAGCCCCGAAAAACCCAGGAGCATGTGCCCCTGCAGACCAGGCCTTCGCCGGCAGATTCTGGGGAGTCCTCTTCACTTACTTTCATGGCTTGCCAGGGTGAAATCCCCTTCATATAGGCTGTCGCTAAAGGCCATGCCCCAGACAGAAAGAAGATCATTTAGAGCAGGGATGTTAGCTCCTCCCGTATCAGGCATCCACCATTGCCTATCAGACACAAAGAAAATCAAACACTGGTTAATACAACCCCCCCCAAAATGTGTCATTTGTTTCATGCTACAGAAGGAACCTTGAGGCACAGTAGTTAAACTACAGTACTGAAATCAAGATTCTACTCACAACATGCGTTCACTTGCAACAGGCTTCGGTAGCCAACTCAAGGTTGATTCGGCCTCCCATTCTTCCAAGGTCAGTAAACCATGTAGTCAACTTGCTGGAAGACTGGGGGGGGGGAATCACTGTGCACCCTGCGTAATCAAATTGGAAACTCCCCAGAGAGGGCTTTAAGCCCTATGGGGCTTTATATAAGCCGCCCACTTTGCTTCACACAGGAGCCCCTTCCCGTCATCACCACTATCAAATATCCACACTGAGAAAGCAGCGACCAAGGACAATAATACTTAAAACAATAATTACGTTAAACAAGAAACCTCTTCAGTGCTAAGTCTCAGGTGTTCATAGGCTTAAAAGGTATTCTACGTACACTTCCCATTGATTGCACAATTGCTTAACCCTTCCTGACACTTAGAAAAATACACAGCTTAAGTTAATTACAGGGTTAGGATGCTTCATGCTTTCTTCAGTGTTGTTTCTGCTCCTTCAAATCATTAAGATAACCAGGAGACACAACAGAACACTTGATGTTTGTGGCTTGGCGGGGAAAAAGAAGGCTTCCAGAAGCTCATAGAAAAGCCTTTCTCACATCCTCAATGCAGGAAATACTGGGATTATTCATGTGTAAAACTAAATGGGGTTTGGAGCTCTCTGCACAAGTGGAATTGCTTGGAGTGTGCCTGCACCAGCCTCCTCTTCTTCCTGCCCAAGTGAGAGAACTCAAGCCTCAATTCGTTTTCTGTACAAGCCAGCTTGCCTTGACACTTGAGTTAAGAGAACCCTATTTAAAACAAAGCCCATTTTGATAAACAAGCCAGCAAAATAATCCAGGATTTGAAGCCTGCATTGACTGGAGCTTCTTTTAAAACACCATCTCTGGTTTAAAAAGCTCCTTGGGGTAGAAAGTGAAACTACATTTGGAAGGTGACCATTGCAAAACAAAACAAAATGAAAACACGCCCTCTGGCATGAGATGAACAATAGAGCTGCTGTCGTTTCTGGCCTGTTCAAGTTCGTTAGGGCTTTAAATAAGGCAGTTCTTTTATCCTGAGATCTGCCAGCAATGCACACACTGAAGGAGAAAAACTGTTATTCAGTACGCGTTTACCTAAACACCTTCATCATCCCAAAAGAAGCATCTCTCCTTCTCCCACACAGGTAGGAATGCTTCTTCTGGCATGGTGCCTGCCATGTACATACACTTCTGATACACTATCTGATTAAAAATAGAATATGAATGTTTTTTGAAAGGTTCCTGCCTTGAATAGGATTCTCAAGCCAATCCACGCTGTAGCCCTACTTAGCCGTGTAGGCAGCTGCTCTACAATGGGTTCCTTTTTCAGTATTCCCTCGTCACTGATGACGCCAGAAACGGGCAAAAGATAAATTGCGATAGAAATGCCAACTCCTTGCAGGGGTTCCCAAACACCCGTACCTTGTGTTTTCATCATAAAACTTCACCGTCCGCATCACCGAGGTGTTGTACCAGTCGCTGAAGACGATAAGGGACAGCCCCTTGTCAACGTCCCTCCGCAGCTTCGTGATTTCTTCCGGAAAATATTCCTCCTCGCTGTCCACCATTAGTAAGGTGCCTGGTTCAGAAAGGGGAAACCATGGAGAATCCTTCAAACCTTTTAACCCTTTCTTCTTTGTGTCCCCCTCCACTTACACAAAGAATCACCTACCTTCATATAAAGTGAGAAGGAGTGGAACAATCTTTGGCCTGCCTTCCACTTTTTTTTAAAAAAATGGCAGCCGGCTTTGGGGGGGAGGCGCTACTCATAGTGTAGCTCCTCCTCTACTGCACCGTCTGGCTCTGCCCATGAGCCCAGAGCCCTTTTCTCTTTAGCGTCTTCCTTCTGATCTGCTTTCTGCTCCTCTCTACTCTCTGGGTCCCTTCGCTCACAGGAACCAGTGACCTGCACAGCAGGACCATTGCTTAGCCCACGAATCCCCTTTTCTAGCTTGGCCTTCTATCTTTTTTCTGCTACCTTTGTCATAAATCTTATTCCCGTACTTTGAGGGGCTCAGCAAGGCCTCCCAAAACCTGGCAAGTAATAGGAAGGGGGGGAGTGAGTTTCTGGCAGACCCATCAAGCATCCCCCAAAGCTGTGGGGCTACAGTTCCCAGTATCCTCAGACTACACATCCACTGGCCATGCTAGTTGCGAATGGTGGAAGTTGTGGTCCAACGCACCTGGAGCGCAAACCTTTACAGAAGGCTGGTACAGACCTTTGTTAAATTTTCTCTTTTCAGAATACAAATGTACTTCTACACTCTACTCAGTGAGGAACCCTATGAGCAGCCAACGGTCTGCACAATCCCAGTGGAATATTTTTTCCCCCTTCAAGGAGCCACTTGCAACACCACATCACAAACAAGCCGGCCTCAGGTTTCCTACACAAAGTCAGGAAACAGATCTGTGAAAAACTGGGGCCTGCAGCTTGCTTGAGCAGGACAAATTAATCCCATTCTGTTTTTATCCAGGCTTAAGTTAGAAGAAAGCTCTTAATTGCTTTTCATATACCCTTGGGGTCTATTGTTATAACACCATTAGAAAAAGAACATACTAATCTCTACTTATTTGTCCTTGATCAAGAAATATAATTAATAACTCTCTCTTCCACACAAGACTTCTGTTTCCACAATTAAGGGAAACAGAAGCTTTTAACTGTGTGTTCCTTATCAAATTATAAAATAAATAAATAAATAAATAGATGATAGATAGATAGATAGATAGATAGGGAGATAGATAGATAGATAGATAGGGAGATAGATAGATAGATAGATAGGGAGATAGATAGATAGATAGATAAATAAATAAATAAATAAATAAAGAACTAACACTGCCTCTCCTTTCGCAGTTCCACAACTGTGAAGACATGCCAGATGTATACTAAGCTAAACTACAGTTTACTTACCATACTGACTAGCGTCAAAGCATGTAAATGGTGAACCAAGAACTTCAATAAAATAACCCATACTTCTCAGGTGCTGGTACATATCCCTGAAGTTGGTATGGATGTGGTCACCATTCCTAAGAAAATAAATATATAGATACATGCATACATATCTAGGCAACCTCATTTTCTATCAGACACCTTTCTATCCTGTTTCCATAAAGGCCAGCCATGCCTAGCTGGGTCCCTTTTGGATGTATTAGGATTCCAACCCCCATTATCCTCAGGCAGCACAGTTCCCGCACATGGGCAGCTGAGAACAGTGGGAGTTGTACAGCCAGTTTTTCACACAGTTTGGAGAAACCTGGCTTAGACCACTGTTAAATGTTCCCTGTTTAAAATTCATGTGTGTTATAACGCTTGGCCGTGGCCCAAACAGGACCTGCAGACCCAGCCAAATCTCCGGGCACGCCCAAAGGAATTTTTTCCTCTGGCTTTACAAAGACCTTGTGCTGCAATTACCACCTCTGGCGTTCTGTACCAAAGAACCTCAGTGAGCAATTCTACATTGATCTTATCAGTTGTGCACCAATATGCATAGTGGCAGATCTAAAGGATAAAGTGCTGATCTAAAGGATAAAGTTTCTATTCACCTAATACTACTGCAAATATTTGTTTTATCTCTCCAAATAAACACATACCACCCATGTGGAATTCTATTCCTGGATTTTATTGCTCTTCTCTGTTTAAAAAAAAAAACAAGGAAGTGGCTGGGCCTGCCTTTCAAACTGCATGATTTACAATGCAGAGTTACCACATCCTCCACCCTTAACCCAATTATTATTCCCAACTAAACTATGTCCATTGAATCAACTGCCAAACAGTGGCAGCTTATGTAAATCTCTTTGATTTAAAGGGTCTGTTCTATCCTGGACTACAACACAGAGTCAAACCCAAATAATTATATACGAGAGCATAACATCTGAGCTTGGAAAGGTCCAAGATACACATTTATAACGGCCCTGCAAATTACAGAAGATTTGGCAATGTCCCTTCTTACTCAGAGAACAAAGCCATGCTTTGTGCTTTGCCAAGCTTATTACACTTCATCTGCAAGTCAGTGTGATATAGAAATAAACATACCAATCTAAAGGGTCGTTCTTCATCCTCAAATTATCCCTTGGAAAATATCCTGGTGGATAGCGGAGATTGTGATACTGATCCCACAGGACCCGCTTGCTGCGGGGTGGTGTTGGGATCACCTTCACTTTTATGGGGAGTTTCACGGTTGACGTTTGTTCAGTGCCAGCTTTTGACTAAAATAAATGGAAATTATAAGGTTAATTATTTCAGTTATAGCCCTTCAGATATTCTGCCTTCTGCTTTGCTGGCTTACAAGTGAGGATTCCTGCCACTGTAGAGGCAGAGGTTGGTCTAGACTTAATGATCCATAGGGTCCCTTCCAGCTCTATCTCTCTCCCACTCTCTGTTGGCATAGGTTTTCACAGACCATAGCCTGCTTCTTAGACACAGCCCACCACATTTTATGCCAGAGAGAACGTGTTCGTCTACAAGATGACACAACAAGGTGCCACAGACTAACACCACTTTCCCCAGGACAGTTACCAAGGTTATTTATGCCATGGTACTGAATAGGGCAAGGCCTAGATCTTCCCTTAGCTTTGACACTCAACAGGCAGTGTTGTGCCAGTGGCTATTTCTCAAAGTGATCAACCTCGCTAAGTAGCTCTAAGACACTGGACAAAAGGCAGGACGTCAATGGGTGAACTACGGCTGAGAGAAAAAAACGATCCAAGAGGTGCTTCTGCATGTCCATGGAGATTCTGCACTCCTGATTCCTCAAGAAAATGTTTCCACCCCCTTCCCCTCTACGCCTGCAAAATATCCTGCACTATAAACTCACAGAACTTTCTAAGGTAGTAATCGAGTGGGGTGACTGGGTTGGAAATCCCCCCCCATGGGAATAAAATCATAAACCATAAATCACACTAAGTGCTTGAAAATCCATGTCTTTTAAAGCAACAGGACCTTATTTTGTACCTTTGGTGTTTACTCCGGATTTTAAGGATTTTTGTACTTTATTGCATTAAGTAGCACTGAGCACTCCTTGGGGCCTAAATAAAATACATGGGAAATAGATACAAATACAAATTCTCTCGCTGTTACATTAATGCCACCTTAACACTGAAAACTGTCACTCTTTGCTAACAACTGTTTTCCTGATCTCACAACTACTTAAATGAAGACAAACTGAAAGAAAACTGGAAGCCTTCTATAATGGAATAAACAGTGGTGAGTCATACAACAGTGGTTTAAAAGGCTGGACTGCATTCTAGTTTATACTGTTTATTTATTTTGATTTAAAGTCCATCATATCCAATGAGTTGTGAATAGGTATCAGCACTTTGAATCCTTTGTGCTTCTTCCAGAATTGCTAAAGAAGCAGAAGAGATCAAATGGCTGCATGAGCAAAGTTGGATCAGTACTGATTTGGTAATATCTCTAAAGACGCCAATCTTCACTTTATCTAACAGTTAAACAAGAGGGCTTCATTGAACAGACTCTTAAAATCCGAAGTACCAGGGGGACTGTTGGTGTACTTCTGCGCCATCAGTTATTCAATCTGTGTTTGCGTGTGTACTTTGCTTTACAAAGAGGAAAGACATAAGTATTTTGTGCAAATAATGGAAACTTTGATGAGATGGAAAAAGTGCTTACTGTCTTGTTCTTGTGAAATCTACAGTGGTTGTTAAACTCCTAAGAGGCGCTCTTCAGCTTTTGCTGAAAACTGACAATTCTGTAGATTTCCCCCCCACATCTCCACCTAAGACAACTCTATACCAGCATATCCAGTACAGAGAAAGCAACATATTTCAATCTCAACTAGAATTGTATCAGAAAAAAAGTAAGAAATAAAATTTGTATGCATCATATAGGAAACCCAACATGTAGACCTTCCAAGCAGTGTGGCAGAAACCAGAAGTCTACATTGCTTTTCAGAGCTGGAGATAAAAATCTCTTATGCCTCTGCTTAACCTTTACAGGGCAAACTTCCTTAATTCAACTGCCAAGTTAAATTTCTCAGGGCTCACACCAATCAAGGTTGCCAAGCCTACTTAGCTAGAATAGACTAATCTCCGAATGACAAATTTTACCTACAGTATCAACGACTGAGTATCTCCAAGTGTGCTTGTGAAGCTGAATCCGATACCCCAACAAAATCTACAAAGCATCTGATACAGGTTTATTAAACAGCATACAAGCATAGCAAACTTACCTCATTTTCTGCAGGGGAGGAGATCGTGATCATGACATGCCCCTGTGCAATGCCTTCCCACATGCCTGCTTTCTTCGCTACAGAGATAGAAATCGCGAGGTATCCAGACCACGGCCACAGAATAGGGGAATAGGAAAAAGCCACCTCAATGTAATCTCCGTTCTGTGGCAAATAGGGTTGCCATTCAGGCTGTGCAGCAGAAAGCAGAAAGTAAGCTGGTTAGAAATCCCCATGGTCAGACATCTAGCGGTATCTAGGCAGGGCAGGTGAACACAACTTGTGCAGGTCACAGCGGCCCTGCCAATCATCCTCTGAATCATGACAGCCTCGTGCAGACATGACTGACTTCTCCCATTGTTCATGCTGCAGGGTGGGGAATTCTGGAAGTTGCATTTCCCCACCCCCAAACAACTTTTGTAGGCTTGTGCCAGTGGAAGCAACAATCCTCTTCCAAACCCTACCTTGTCCACAATCCTCCCAGTGACTCCCATTCCATTAAGGATGGTAACATTCACGATGGCTGGCATGCCTCCGTAGTAAATAGGCTGGGAGCAATACGGCCACATGTAGGGGCATTCTGTCAAGTCGATGTAGCTGGGGCTCAAACTACAGAATGGGGGGCAAAAATACAAACACAATTTAATAAGTTATTAATTAACTGCTAAAAGATACATAAAGGAAGGCAGTTTTCACTACCCAGGAAATTTTTGATTTGAAACTAAGCCTGGAAACACAGTGGGTATAGATATATTATTCTGCTTCATTATTGTTTGAGAAAGAACATTAACCATGACAGGAAGAAAAATTAAAGGAAATGACTGAACACATGAATAGCAATTTGGCAGGCCAGGATAGATCCCCACCTGGCAATTTTAAATACTTCCCCAGTGGCCCTGTCTAACCTTGGTAAGCCATAACAAGAACATAAAAGCAGAAACAGTATAGAGGCATAAAGACAAGAACCAGCACAAATTAACTTAAAACTGTAAAATGGCTGAGCAAATAAATCTGTTTTAACCTGATGCTGAAACGAGAGCAACGTCTTTCATTTCTGCATGCAGTGCCCCAACTCTGAACATGAAGTGATGCGCTCGTATCTGTCAAGACGCAATCATTAACAGGGTGGCGTTCTAAAGGCCCTTGGAAAACGTACAGCTGACGGTGAAGGCATCTGGGAGTTTAGACCAAGCGCACCTGGGGACCTAAGGTGGAACACTACTGTTTTAAGGTATTCCCAAGTTATCCTTAACATAATCTCCATATTTAAAGTACTGCAAGACAACGATAATTAACATTCACAGGTGCTTGTGCAATTTTCCAACAACAACACCCAGTCACCCTGCATCCTCACCATCAGATCTCTCAGAAACGCTTGCCTAACAACACATTGACAGCTGCAGCCAAACTGGAAGAAGGAGAAGCCACTTGAAGTCCTTTGTGTTATGCAAAGAGCCAATGTCTTCTTGACCAACCTATCCTTCAACACAAGGGTTCCTTCTGACCGTTTCTGAACCACCTCACCTGGCCTGTGGTTTATAACTGTTGAGGATCTGGTAGGCTCTAAGGAGATCCAGCTTGCCATGTCCCTGCTCAAACATGTTGACTCCAGGAAGTCGGCGTGCTGACGCGATCAGAGCCTGCTTCATGCTACCTGGGTTCACCAATTCACGCTTCTGAACTGTGCTAAAAATCAGAAACAGTTGCAAGATTACTACCTAGGCAGTGTGCTGAGCGGTTATTTATGAATCACAGCGTCATTTATATAATTCATTTTATTACCAAAAAATGTTACCTCTGACATTCAGTGTTTTTAGCTAATACCAGAGCTGTTTGCTTAATAAGTGACTTCTGCTAAAAACTGAGGGTATGGGTGGGAATCTCATCATTTATGGTAATGGAACACCCGTTCGGTTCAATCTGTGCATCTGTACAGAGAACCAGACTACACATTTTAAAATAAATACAAACGTAATACATTTTCTACTCAGGAGCAGACACAGGAGTCTGACCCAAAAGTTCAACTGAATTCAGAGGTTCAATACTAAAAAAATATTTTGTCAGCATTTCTAGATATGGAGTTATTTTATATGCTAAAACGTCAAAGCCTCTTTTTTTGTGAAACTGAGAATGCAGAAGGGAACGGATGTTTTATTAGCAACTTCAAATGAAGAAATCTCATTGCAGAAGATGGTACGGCGCCATGAAAGCAATAAGCGCCTATGACACTGCTAAAACCACTTCCATTGTCTCAAGACAATGTAGGAAAGGAGTGATTCCTTCAGAAAATAAGTAAGCTGCATTTGAACAAGGTTACTGAATGAGAAAGACTACACTGTGCAGCCAAGGGCTTTCATTTCCTTTAACGCCTCAATTCCTTTGAAGTTCACAAAGGGGGTGCAAGAGCCCTCTGCACTTGGAAATGTGTCGTGGAGTAGAAGAGAAAGGGGTCCTACGGCTATGAGTCAGGACACGTCCGGATCAAGCTCATGCCAGTCACAAACTCTCTCTTCAACTGGGCAATGCAAAATCTCCCAACTTAGCCTCTTCACCTTCATCGGTGTGACATGGATGAACTGATCTGATTTTAGGATTGTTTTCACAGCCAGCGCAACAGCAGATGAAACATGCTTTCCACGTTCAAAACAAAGAATATTGCTTCTTCCACATGCTTTAAAATGTTGAAGACGCTGCTCTGTTTTCGTAACAGCCACCCCCTTGCACCTCTTCCAGGGACAAATAACCTTGATCATAAGCCAAGACTGCGGCCTTGCAAACGTTATTGAGACTTTTGCTCCTATCCCATGGGAACACTGGATGAGCTGGCTGGGGGAGCTACAGCCCTGTCATAAAAGACGGCGGGTGTTCTACACATTATTTTCACTGAGCCCTTACCTTACCAACAGAGTGACGGCACCTGCCACCACAGGAGAGGCCACGCTGGTCCCAGAGAGAGAGCGGCACCCGCCCTTCATGCCAGAACCTCTCACGCCAGAACCGTAGGTCACTATGTCAGGCTTGACCCTCCCATAACCACCAGGTAGTTCCTTGAAGGAAAACAAAATCACAGAATTAATCATTTGTTTCATTTATTCCAACATCATAGCCTTAGCATTATATTAATCAAACATACAAGGAGGTCTATCAATAAAACAAACAAACAATGGAATAATAAATAACATGCATACCCATGTGGTCATGCCCCTTGAGGAAAACCGGGCAATGTTATCTTCGAAGTCAATGCCACCTACACCAATTACATCCATTTGGTCAGCTGGGTTGTTAAGCGTGCTGAAATAAGTATTTACATTTATTATTTTTTAAATGATATCTTATCTTTACTCAAGAAGACAGTACACATAGTTCCCCCTCCTTTGCTTCTTCCTCCTGTTCCCCCCCCTTTAATTCTGTAATTGGCACCATCATCACATTAGGTTAGACTAAGACTGTGTAGCTGGCCTACGAGCACGTAGTGAACTTCACAATAAAGGATTAAAGTCTACATCTCCCCAGCACTAGTGTGACACTACAACAAACTGGCTCCCTTTCACAAAAAAACACACCTGAATCACCCAGTACACCCAGTGGGTCTTACTCCCTAGAAACCACTGTAGCTTTCTTTCCTTTTATGACCTATTGAGCGCAATAGGGCTACAATCACTCGTAACTTGCATCCTCCACATTCAGTGGGGTTTCAATATGAGTACATTTCCCTGCATTCAGGATACTGTTTCCTCTGATGACTGCTTTCCAAAAACAATGATCACATTTATGAAACAAGAAGCTAACAGGTAGGACCATTTTTTTTTTCTAAAGGGAAAAGACAATAATACTTGCACTGGATATCATCACTGGGAGTATTCTTTTTATGAAAGGAAAACATTTCACACTTTTTTTCTGATGGAGAAATGGTTACTTAATCAATTAACACTGCTCTGTAAGAAAACATCATTGGATCAACACAGCAACAGTTCTTACCCATATAAAGGGCCATCATTTCCAATAGCAGAGACCATGATCACATTGTTGGCTGTCAGCTCCCATACCTAAAAGAGTTCAAACATTTATGAACTGTGTCAAAAAAAATTTTATTTGTCCTGAATCTCTTGCTATTCTGCTTCCATGGATGATGAATTGGGAGATGAAGAAAAGCTTTCCCCATCACTATATATCATGCATAACATTAAGCACATCCATCCACCGTATATCATTTTTCTGTACTAAGTAACCTTCAGTATCGTCAAAGTTATACAGTATGGCTCTGTTTCCAAGTAAAACATCTGAAACTGCGCCACTTCTGCAAGCATGTCATCTTTTAGACCCCATTGGATGTAATAAACCTGTTTCAGCTGTTTCCCCTGAGACTGAAGCCTCTGCAGGCTAAACTAGGTTCAATGATTCAAAAAAAAAAAAAAAACCACAACCCCCATTCTCTGTTTTATTAATGTGGGGTGTTGCACTTCTGCACCCATGATTCGAAACACAGTATTGTGCCAAGCTTTACATAGCAAAAAGCAGCTTGAGCATTGGCAACACCCATGGCAGCAGTCCAGATGGGTTTGCTTTTTTAAAAAAATAAATAAAATAAAATCATAATTTGGAAATTCTTTGCTGAAGCTCCGTTTAAATTAATCTGAATGTGACCAAAAACAATGGATAAGCTGAGAAAAAACCTTGATCAAAGTCAAAGATGGAATGAGAACTGTGCGGGATTCAATCGAAGCTTATGTGTGCAGCCTAGTATTTTGTTCCGACAATGGTCAACCGGAAGAAGTCTTTGGGACACCTAAAGAGGAACAAGAGCCCAGCAGCCACCTGACGTCTGTGCTTCCCAGCCAGTGGTATTCAGAGACCGGCCAACTCTGACACCACACCCATCTACTACAGGGTTCTATTCACCTTGTCAACGAAAGGATGATCCATGAAATCCGGGCCGCCAATGCTGAGGTTTAATACATCGATCTTCTTTAAGATGGCATAGTTGAAGGCATCCAGAAACCAAGATGTGTAGGAGACCTGTGTATGAAGGAAACTCATTTTAATGCTCATCAGTGCAAGAAAGGAAAACGTTTTTTTTAAAAAAAGTTGAGAGGCACACACGGACACATACATTGGCTCCACCTCCAAACAGAATGCTCAAGGACAGCAAAGGGGTGTGTGTGGAAAGTATTTCCTCTCCAATAACAGCATTTTAAACTCATGACTTTAAAAGCATAGCTGCTTTTACAATGTCATGGCAGTGTTTCACATCAAACTTCAAAATAATAAAAAAAATTAATCATGCACGGTCAGGTCAATCCTGACTGATGGTGACCCTTTTCAGGGTTTACAAGAAAGTGATCACTCAGAAATCAGAAGACTCTAATTTGAGCACTGTAGCAGGTTATTTCAAAATATGAACATTCCATAACAAACACCCCTTGACAGTAAACAAAGTGGACGGCATGCACAACGTCAAGTCCGAGTTCATAAAAATCAGAATGACGTTAATATCAGTAGCATACCTGGCTGTTAGTGAAGACACGAAATATATGGAGTTCTGAGTCTGGGGCAAATCCCTGGCATTCTCTCATGCTTGCTATCACACCAGCTACAAAAGTCCCATGGCCCAAACCTGTTGAACACAAGCATTAGATTAGATTCCTCCTCCTTTTTTGGGGGGGGGCGAGAGATTATTTTCATTTGGAATGATGGTTCACACTATGAATGAAGTGTGCAAGGGTCACTGTGTTTTTTTTTAATTTTCTTTTTGATTGGCCAAATAAAGACACTGCCCTAATATAGACTTTGGAAAAAAAAATAGAAAAGAAATTTTACTGCACTCGTATCAGCTAGAAAAAGTCTTCCCATGAAGCGGTAACAAAATGAAATCAATTACATAGTCGCAAACGAAGCTGTCAGGCCCCAATCACTCCTCATATGTTCTTTTTCTAATTTGCAACCAGCAGTAAGTTATCGTTACATCTGAGAGAGCGAATCATTAAAAGGGATCTGCTAGCAAGCATGTCTGCACTTGAGAATACGTTCAAGTGACATCAATAGAAGATCAAAGTATATGAGAAGAGGCAGAGAAAGTGCACATAAGCGGGTAGAAATTCAATATCCCTCTTTCAGGAGCTGCGCTTGTAATTTCAAATTTTTGTTAAGCTGTGAGAGGCTATCGAATTACATGTATTCATAGTTCCCTTTACAAAACAGGTACACACACAGGTAGAGCACTAAAACAAAAGAAGCCTTAAATCACTGCATGCAAATGTAACCTATTTCCAAGAGCCAATCAAAATTTAATATGAAACTGATATTTCATTCAAGTTTTCATTCTGTTTCCATAGGTCTGATGAAGCTGACATGTCCACAAAAGCTCACATTAAAATATAATAGCCTTTTAAGGTTCCACATGTAGAAAAAAGGTTAAGATATGAACACTATTCTGAACTCAGCACACTCACTATCTTCAGGGTCAGACCTGTGTGCTCTTGAGGAACAAACCCTGCATTCTAAAGGCATCTATACAGCACACAGCAGAGAATGTGTTTAGAGCAGCAAAGCAAATTAAATAATGAACTCTACCATCATCCAAGGTCCGCTCATTGGTCCAGTTTGTCCTCTCTTTTACGTTCTTGAAATGGGGATGCTTCTCGCTCAGTCCAGTGTCAAAGACAGCCACTCTTACTCCAGCACCTATTGTCCCGGAAAAGGGTTGACAAAGTTACAGAGTGCACACGGGAGAGAGGTACTTGGCGTAATTCTCTGAAGGACTTCTTCCTTTGTGCGTGGGAATTAACACTCCCCCTGAATGCTTTACTAAACGTGGTGCCGCCGCAAAGACTCGTATCATGCCGGCTCTGAAAAATTTACACTGGCTGCCAGTTGCTCCTCGGGACCAATTCAAAGTGCTTACTTAATAACATTAAATTGACATATAAAGCCCTAAACGGCTTAGGACCTGGTTACTAAAGGACCGGCTTCTTCCATATGAGCCTACCCATCCTCTAAGATCAGGCCAGGAGGCCCTTCTGAAGGTGCCATCCCTGAAAGAGGTAAGGGGGACGGCATGCCGAAATAGGGCCTTCTTCAGCTATTGCCCCCCCCAACTTCGGAACACCCTCCCTATAGAGATCCGCTTGGCTCCAACACTTTTGGCTTTTCCACGCCAGGCAAAGACCTTACTGCTCAGCCAGCATTTTAATTAAATAGTATTCTTTAGCTGGCCATACGAGCAGCAGGATTTAGTAATATTAATGTTTTAATGACTGTTTTTAATATAGAGTATTATTATAATATTGCCTATTTTTAATGGCTTTAATGTTTTTAAAGTTTTAATATTGTTGTACGCCGCTCAGAGACCACTGGTAATGGTGCGGCTAAAAAAAAATCTTGTAAATAAATAAATTAAAATACCTAAGCTTCCTAACGGTCTAGCAGCAAGTAAGACCACTTGGCCACATGGTCTTGTGTAGTTACACCACTGGAAGGGAAGGGCATTCATAAGGAATGCAGGTTCTCCCTAAGGTTATAGCCTCTGCTCCTTAGAATGCAAACGCTAGTTGTTCTCACACCATATTGGAAAAGGCAAATTTCAGTGATAGCATGCAACAGCTGGCCCAAGTGAAAGGCTGCATCATTCCCACGATTGGGGGACGTGATATTCATCGTCTCTGCAAAAAGACAAATACCTGTGAAGCCCATTTGCCAGAGAACATCTGCCTGGAGTGTCTGAGCAACTTGCCGGGGTATGGCTCTTAGCAAGCGCCTGCTGGAGTGCCTGCCTGTGGCATGCCAGAACCCAGAACCCAGGGACAGGCTGGCCCTTCTTAAGGGACGAGACGACTGCCATTTTTGCGTCCATCTGGTGTCGTTGCATGGAAATGCCGAGTCAGCTGGAAATGGAAGTGTTAGGGAAACAATATTAAAAGCTGATAAATCACGTTGCTCAAGCACTAAGCAGCTCTTGTGTGTGAGAGTGTGTGCACATATGCAAGAATGGATACATCCCTGCATACATATTTGCGTGTGCATAATAACAATAATAAGACATATAAGTGTTGATGTAACAAAATAATCTTTTTTGCTGCTCCCCTCCTACTGGATGTTGGAGGTCATCATGGTTATTCTGATTCTGGGTGCCACAACTCCAAACAATGATACTGCATTGCAACTAAATCAGTCCCACTTTTTTTCAGCCAGCAAGTCCTCATTTTTCCATGTCTTTCCCCATTTTAATTTCACCTCAATTAATCTGCTGTTACAATCTGCATTTACTGTTATGTGACCAAAGTATTCTAGTTGTCTGTTTTGTTGGTGCTTTATGATTTCCTGACCTTCTTTCATTTGATTTAGTACCTCTTTGTTGATCACCCAACCATGCGGAGAAATTCTTAGAATCCTGCAATAAATGTACATTTGAAATGCTCCTATGTTTTTAAAATTCCCAGTGTTAGGTCTCCCCTCTCTCACACATACACTATGACAACAGATACTGTGTTGTAAAAATACAAGTTTTGAATTTTAAAATGTCACTGAACAGAAAAAAAATCCACTTTCTCTCTCCACATTTTAAAAAAAGTGAAAACAAACATCTTCACTAATTAATTTTATTATGTAATGTCTTCAAGGATTTGAGGCTATTTTCAATTTATGGCCTTGATGGACTGAGGCCTTAATTAGCACAGAAGTTATTAATCTGCCGTGCACATACCTCTTATATCCAATCAAACTACTAAAGATATAAGTACAAATTAGTAAATGGATTGTTCAGCTTTAAAGGATGATGGACTCTAGCCATGGATGAAGACAATACAGAACTGTTTCCTAAAATGGATTATCAGAAACAAAATGTCCATTCCTTGTAAAGAAAACTGCTTCTAGTAAACAAAATATCAGAACTACATAAGCACTTTGGCTCCTAACCCATAGATCATATCTAAATTGCCATATCATCTCCATTAACTTTGGACATTGGCCAAAAGTGATGGCTGCTGTCAACCCGCCTCCCATTCCTTAACTCGAGGGAGGGGCCGTGTATGGCTCGGATGTCCATGATAAATTCCAAAGGCATTGGGAAAATGGTGACAAGTCCTGGTGCTTTGAGCCCCACCAAAGTTCAGCATGACCTCAGGTCCAAGGAGAGGGCAAAGTCTCTTCCTGAGATTGTGCCAAGTAGCTGAGGTCAGAGACACATGACCTGCCTTGCTCTCACAAGACTGAAAATACAGGCTCAATACAGGCAAAGAAACTAATCATTAAAGGATACTAGCAAAATACTCATTATGAGCAGAAGGCAAGACTTTGGGAAAGCAAAGCTTCCTGGTCGGTCCATCCCTCCCTCCTTCCCTCCACAGTATTTGTTTATTTAAAACTTTTCTACCCCACCTTTCTCCTTAACCGGGCTTACATCATTCAAAGACAATATTTAAAGCTAATAAGTATATAAATACTAAACAAAAGTTCAAAGAAATGCCACACTGAAAAACAGTACACAAAAGCAACACCAAAGACACATTCAAAGCAGCAAGGCTCAACAATTCATTTAAAAACTTCACTCATCGAGCGCTCTCTAAGCTGCTGACAGTTTAATTATGCAGGCGACACATTGCCGCCACCCCCTCCCCAGCAAGCTGGGTATTCAATTTACCAACCTTTGAAATCTGAAAGGCAGAGTCAATGTTGAGCTAGATTCCTGGGATTGAACTCAGGTCTTGACCAGAATTTGAGCTGCTGTACTGCAGATGAACCACTTGTGCCACAAGGCTTAATGCTGTAAGTGGGGGGAATAGGTATTTGTCTTATTCTGTGACTTGACCTTAAGTATACTTACTTTCAGTGTATTTAAGTGAGCGAAATACTTTTCTCTGGGGAGTAACTCGTTTGATATTAGGATGGTCCTCAAGAGACTGCACTCCATCTTTCTGTTTCTCATTGATCTGGATCACCTCAAAATCACTGGGGTAGTCACTTGCTGGGTTGTTGCGGGGTACAATCCTCCAGTTCTCTATGTCGTTGCTCTTCAGTGCCCTTGAAATGAACTTGCTTCTTGCTTGTGCGGAGAAATAGCCATTGAAGGCTACAATATATTCTGCAAATATAGGACCACATGTTAGAACCGATATACTCTGGGAAATGTGTAAGAAAATAAAGGAAATGAAATGTGGAATAAATTAAAGGACACATGTTGTCCTTTAATTAATTCTACATTTCCTTTCCTTTATTTGTAAGATCTCAACTGTAAGATAACTCAAGCTTTCGGAAAGGGAAAATATAATCTCATAAGCGAACATACAAAATACATTCATAGTTTTATCATGCTTAAGAAATAGTCTCAGTAAATTTTAGAACAAGACTGGCTACATGCTATGCAGATACACATGAGGACAGATATAGAGTTACTATACACCTTGATAAACAGATAATAGATATTAATAATTTAGGTTCTGAAGCTACTCATGTGCTTCAGTATACATCCAGCTTCAAAGTTCAGCATGGATTATGTTCAGTGGACTATGAACACCCAAATTCAAATCCTCCCACATCCAAGACGCTCATTGGATAAACCTGGGGCTGTCACAATCCTCCAGACTCATGTGGTTGTTGAGAGTTTAAAAATGAAGGAATGGTGTAAGAATCTTACACACTATTCTGACCTCCTTTGGAAAGGGGCAGAACAACAAAATAATTAATGGCTCAGTGGTTTAGGTCTCTGGCTGCAGAGCCAGAGGTTGGGAGTTTGATTCTTCTGTGCTTCCTCAGAGAAGAGCCAGCCTGGGTGGCCTTGGCAAGCTGCACAGTCCCAAGGCACCCCCAGGAGGGAAATCACTTGAAAAACCCTGAATAGGGTTACCATAAGTCAGAATTGACTTGATGCAGCATGATGATGATGATAATTTATACATTTCTATCCCTTTGTTCTGTTAATAAAAAGCAATGACAACCTTTACCGCTACTGAGGGTGGGCAAACAAGGCCCTCCAGATGTTCTTGGACTGCAGTTGCCATAATCACCACTAACTACAGCTGATGAAAACTGTACTAACAAGAATATCTCAAGGGTCACAGTCCCCCACTCTCCCACCCACTCCCCAGTCCAATCAGCACTATCATCATCCAATATGGTGATACAGGAGAGCACTGACTATATTCTCAAATACACCTTCAGTTCATCTGGGCTGACAATGAGGATCAACAGTCAACACTGCTACCTTAAGTGAACTAAATCCACACCCTCAAATATGTCACAGAATGGTCTCCACACACAGGATTCTGCATCCAGATGGGCTCAGAAATTCCTTAGAAAACCCTCCTAGGGTTAGAAAACTAGGATGAATGCTCTGATTCATAGTTCATAACGATGGCTCGCCATTTAAATATAAGCAGGGCTAGCCCAAAACACTTCCCTGCCTGTAGTGGAACAGCGAATGGCACCTCACGAGGTGGTAGCAAAAGCTGGTTTGGTTGTTTTGGATCCTGAGGGGGGAAATCCCACAAACCCCTCCTTTGGGGAGTGAAAATACAGAACACACAAAAAACCTGAAACCATTAACCATTTGCTATCTATTCTGAAGAGGAAAATGATCTTCCTGCAGCACCCTTGTATAGCCAGACCGGGTTATGTCTGGCCCTATACACACTGCTGGAATGAAACTCCCATCAGCCAACAGTGAAAGATAACAGGAGTTAACATTCAACATCAGGAGGCCCTCATACCGGCCACTCCTGGCTTGGAGCCTCTTGTCTCCTGATCTGCTCTTTCCTAAAGCAGAACAGAAAATTAAGGACTACCATGACATCTGCCCTGAAAAAAAAAAAAGGAATCAAGGTTCATTACCATGTTCCACAACAGTAGAAGAGAATTCAACTCTTAATGTGAGATGAGAGCATTCAGGACACACGTGGCTTTCATGGGAAGAATTCCCAGCTTTGGTCCCCAGGTGCTGTTGGCAACAGAGTAAGATCGCTGTCAGAAACAACCAGATGTTTGCAAGCCTCATGGTCACAAACAATATGGTTTCATCTCCCACATTCCATGGATTCAATCCATATGTTCCTTCTCCATGAATCCGTTCTCCGTCTTCTTTTTTGGGTTTCAGAAAACTGTGTCTTTTTAAGTGCTAAGTGGACAGCCTGAAGGCTTTGTCTAATGTACGTAAAAGTCTTGCCGTCATTGTCTTTTCCGCGGAAGCCTAGAAAACAGGCTCATTTCTTTCTTCGTTTTTTCTCCATCTTTGATTCAAGAGTCTCCTCACTCAGGATTCAACAGCTGAGTCCTGTACTTCATGTTGGATGGAAGAGGTAAGACCTGGGCAGAATCCAACCAAGTTATGTTTCTAGAAACTCTGAACAACCTGTAGAAATAAGCACACCATGGTCACATACATCAAATATTGTCTAGGCAAACGAGCTGATACTAATAATACGGGCTGGAATCCAATTCCTCCTCACACAACTCTAAATCTCATGAGAGCCAGTGGAAACTACCCACATCCTAACTTCTGTCAAATCTGCATCCCCTCCTTACACACTTTTAAACTGTGTCACAGCAACGGCTATTTCATGGGGGAAGGGAGGAAAAGTGAACTCCCCTCTTGCCAACTCCACTGGGATCAACTGGCTTCAGCAGGTCCGTCATAAAATCTTAAAGCTGTTGGACAAAGGGTGTAGATGGAGAATCCTGGGCCCTCCAAATCCTTTAGGCTTCAACTCCCCGTAATCCTAGCCAGTAAGGTCAGTGGTAAGAGATTAAAGGAGTTTAAGACAGAAAAGATCTAGAGGAAAAAGGATTCTTCTCTTTTCATAAGAGCCTTATTTTCTTGTTCTGTTTCTATCATTTTGTGTCTACTAACATTGTGATTTTTAAACCATGAATATATTAATATTACTTTTACATAATAAGATATTATTAACATTACATTGCATTACATAAATGTACTAAATCATGGATTACTCTTGCCCTATAGAAGCATTTCATGTACAATTCCCACCAGGTTTTTTAAAAAGGATTTCGTTTCGTTTAGTCGTGTCCGACTCTTCGTGACCCCATGGACCAGAGCACGCCAGGCCCTCCTCTCTTCTACTGCCTCCCGGAGTTGTGTCAAATTCATGTTGGTTGCTTCACAGACACTGTCCAGCCATCTCATCCTTGGTCGTCCCCTTCTCCTCTTGCCTTCACAACTTTCCCAACATCAGGGTCTTTTCCAGGGAGTCTTTTCTTCTCATGAGACGGCCAAAGTACTGGAGCCTCAGCTTCAGGATCTGTCCTTCCAGTGAGCACTCAGGGTTGGTTTCCTTTAGAATTGATAGGTTTGTTCTCCTTGCAGTCCAGGATTAGATACTGTAAATTGATAGGCTGATCAAAAGCTATGATCAAAAGCACCTAAGCAGAATTCCTATTTTCAGAGGCAGTACACCCTGGTGGATCAGCCGCTGAAGATAAACCAATAGTTCGGGACCTGCTTCTGAACTTCTATAGGGATTTGTTTCACAAGTGAAAAAAAAAACAGAAATCTAAACCTGGCAGTAGCAACTATCTGTGTGCATTCAGGGTCAGCTCCCTCCTTCAGAATAAGATTAGGATGTAAATATGTTATTTAGCTACAGAACTCCGACTGATTTCTCTTTCCATGATGGCTTCTTCATTGAAGAACATTCTTTTGTCTGCCACAAGAGCTGAGAAAAGGTAGCCTTGAAGCACACACAGAGAAAATGCTGTTTTATAAAAATACTGTATCCCCTTTCTCCCAATTTAAAAAACTGTATTGTATCAACAAATTGTGATGATTGTAACATTTTAAACAAAATAGGTTTTAATGTCTCTATGTTTGATTCTTTTTAAAGTATCTGTTGCTGTTCTTCTGCTCACCATGTTTATAAACCACCTTGTACTCTGTACCAAATTTTTTAAAAAGCACTGGAGAATGGAATAAATCAAGAACAAAATACTGAAATTCAAATCTAGCATGTTTGAAAAAGTATGAAGCAAGGACTACAGTCAACGTAATCAAACCAGCTGCCAAGCAAATGAATCATTATCACATTGTGTAAGCATAGAGGTCTGCAAGAAAAATCTTTATCAAACATTACAGAAGTGAAGGAAAGCAGGGGATACTTACAATCTAAGCACTTCACAATATTAGCTACCTTATCGTTAACACATTTTAACCTGTCAGATTTCCCATCAGGATTGGTAAGCGCTCCATCCTACTAAAGCATTACATGAAGAAGTATAAAAACAGTACATGATATGACTGTGTGTAATATAAGAAAAAAATGGGAGAAAGGGTGCTTGTCTCACCACATTTACATACACAGAAATGAGCAAAGAGATTCCTTCAAATTACAAAATTTGTAGGAAATTTTAATTCAAGGGGGGGAGCTTGCAAAACAGCGAGATAAGCAAAGGACTGAATTCAAACATCATGAAGAAATTACAGCAAAGAGAAGCTTATGAGCAGGGTCCACTTATCATGGAGGCAATTCACATTCAGACTGCAGGTAGACAGAACAATAATAGCACTTGACAGGAGCAATAATAGCAAAACAAAGAAATACATCTCTCCCTATAGGAAAATGAAGATGAAGAAGAACAGGGCTATTTGTAATTCACTCCATGACATGCCAGAGAACTGGCAAGGAGAAACAATGTAATGTAAAACAGCACAACCCAAACAGTGGTTTACTATCTCATGAAAACAAGTCCAGAGTAATAGCAGTGAGATGAGATAAATTGGGCGGGGGGCGTTAAAGGGGAAGCAGCCCAGAGAAGGTGGGCTTTTTGGTGTTGTTCTTCCCAGTTCCTTCACCTTCATTTAAAAGAAACGTGTCTGTCATTGTAGTTTTAGGCAGCCCTTTCCAAGCTCTTCCACACAGCGCCAGACTATAATCGCCTCCATCCACTGACAACACCCCCCATGAACAAGGTGCCCAAGGTTCAGGAAGGCCGCTGAGAACACACTTCCAAGTTATCTTGTGGCTGCTCCAAAAGGCCCTTGTGCCCGTGTGAAAGCTGGTTTGTCTCCCTCTCAATCACTTTCCTACCACAAGATTGTTTAGAGAAGGCTGAACAAACTGCCGACCGATGACAGGATATTTGCACTGGTTATGGGGTGGGGCAGCATTCATGGCACAAGAGAAATCTGTTGCCGTTTGCAGCTTTCTCGTGTGTCTCAAAAAGTGAGTTGTAGTCCTTGAAAGGGCACACTTTTATGGTTTTCTTAAAGGGGCCACAATACTTGTAAGATTCACAAAAATCTGTTGCAATAATGTGGACACCTCCTTCCACTGCAAATGACAGGACTGGAGTCCAAAAGAAATCTTACAGAAGCTGGCTAACAGAGATTCATTTCTTCGCCGAAAACTCCTGAAAATAATATGGGAAAGCCTACTGAACGTTGTGAGTTCAGGACAAAGCCTACACCAATTTATTAAATTTATAACCTACCAAAGAGCTTCTAAGGAGAATTCATGGTTCTCACCCCTCTCCATCTGGTATACTTTGATATATATACATATTTAACAACCCTGTAATGAGAGGGGGTGGGCTGAGAGAGAATAAATCTCCCACCACCATCAGTCTATAAACTTCATGGCTGAGTGGGGACTTGAACACCCCTTTACCTGCTACCATACTGCTGAACATGCTAGTTTTCTATCTGGCTACCTTTCTTTCACTATCTTCAAATAGCAATGTAGGTGTCAAAAGGTAGATGGAGCAAGCTTTTTTCCTGCAGCTCCAGAAGGTACGATGGGATTCAAATTACAAAAAAAGAAAATCTTGACTAAACAAAGAACTTTCCCGGGGCTGGTTCAAGAGTGGAACAGAGTCTATCCAAAGCTGAGGGCTGTCCATGAAGAATGTGTTATGCCCTGCAAGGGGTTATCTTTTAAATGCTAAGATAGCTCTTAATGTTTATTTACTTTTGATTGTATTTTAGTCTACAGTGTTTTTTTAAAAAGGTTTAACTTTTTAATTCCATTCTTTTTTATATATATTGTGAGCCACCTTGAGTGCACATAGCAGAAGAAAAGAAGGCCTATAAATAAAATAAAAACATGAACTTTCTCCCCTTCGACAAGTCTACAAAAGCCATTCTGACAGCCCCTCCAGCTGCAAAGTGGAGGACAGACGTGACAAACAAACAAGGCTAATTTTATAAAGCGAATCAAGGCGCCCGCCTTGGCAGAAAGAGCCAGGCTAGTTAAACTTTTGGGACCAATGCAGTTGAACAATCCTATATCCTAATGCAAACTGGATTTTCTTTTGGGGGGAAGGCTCTGCAAGAGTCCTCAAAGCTTAGCCAGCTCAGCCTCTCTTAAGTCTGCCCTACTTTTACCCTGAAAGGCTAGCTTTCTCCCTGTGGGGACTTTCTTGCTTTTACTTTTTATTATTTATTTATTAGATTAGATTTATACTCCACCCATCTAGACTGGGTCTTCTCTGGGTGATTTTTTACACACACCCCCAGACAAGGTGTACTCGAGACGGCTTACCTACATAAAAACATAGCAAACAACATCTTAAAAACATTTAAAACATCAAAAAAAATGTTAACCAGCCTATTTCTTAGACAGGAGAAGCAGCCCTTCTTGTCAAGAGCACACACCCCCAATCGCCACTCACATGCACAAAGCATGCAGGGGTATAACCCTTAATTCTGTCCTCAGAGTCTTTTCCCTGTGAGGTTAGCTTTCTCCTTGCAGGGATTTTTCTAGGTAGGAGGAGCAGCCCTTCTTCTCCACAGCACACGCCTCCCTTCCGCCCCCCACATACATACATACATACATACATACATACATACATACATACATACATACATACATACATACATACATACATACATACATACATACACGAAGTATCATCACCTCAGCTGAGGCCTCCTTCCCCCACCCCCGCCTTCGGGGCCCTCGCCGTGAGGGGGGAAGCCCGGAGGGCGGCCTGGCCGGCGACGAAGCCCCCTCAGGCTGCCTCCTTCGACCCACCCGCTGCTGCAAGGCCGCCGCCGCCTCAGGGCCTCTCCGGAGCTCCAGGTCAGGCGAAGCGGGCTCCCCTCCCTCCCTCTCGCAGACGCCGCCACTTCGCACCGAGCAGTCGGCCCGGGCTGCTGAGGAGAAGCCACTTTCCCTGAACCACCGGAGACGACGGGCCGCGGGGCACGACGGGGCTTGTAGTCCTCGCCCGCTTGCCTCTCCGAGGGCTAACGCAAAGAAAGCACCACATTTCCCAGCTACCCTGGGAGTCGGTTAACGGACCCCTGGACGGCGGCCCTGTTGGTTCAAAACGAAAGGATTCTCGCGCTTCCCTTTAAGCATAAACAATGTCTTGCCGGGGCGGCGGGGGGGGTAGACTATGCCGAAGTGCATTGTGGGATGTGTAGTCCTGCGTAGAGATGACGGCCCATCTAGCAAAGGAAACAAAGAAGGCTGCAGCTTCACTCTTGTCACTAGGATTAGTTTTTCTTGGGAACAGATTTTGAAGGCGTTACTTCTTTTGGACTCCAGATTGCCCCAAACAACATGACTTCTGAAGCTGTGATTTTTTTTTAAAAAAGTAACGTTTCCAAATTCTGCTTAGTACAGCCAAAGGTTATTACTCTCAGGAAGGAATAACAGCATCCTTCCCTGCAGTTTCTTGGGATCGAGACCCACTCTATGCAAAAAGTTACACCTTGCAGGACAATCGTGATACTTAATGTTAATTAGTTTTTATTGTTTAGCTAAAAGTGCAGTTTGGGCTGTGTTACTCACCATTCCCTTCGTAAGTGCGGATACGGGGAGGGTAGGAGTATAAATGGTCTTTTATCTCCTTTGTATTATAATCATCCGTTTCCTTCTCTCCCTCTCCCCTCACTTTTGATGGTCTGCTATAATGTCACAAACCGATTATTGGCTCCAGCTCTGCTCCCAGATACAGATAGCAGCGGACACAGGTAACATCAAAGGAATGTATGATGGTATCAAGCAGGCCTTAGGTCCAATGCAGAAGAAATCTGCTCCCTTGAAGTCTTCTACAGGTGTGCCCATCCAGGACCGAGCACAGCAGATGGAACGCTGGGTACAGCACTACTCTGAGCTATATTCCAGAGAGAATGTAGTAACCGAAGAAGCATTAAATAACATTGAGTGCCTGCCTGTCTTGGAAGAGCTGGACAGTGAACCAACCTTAGCAGAAATAAAAGCGGCCTTGGATTCCCTCGCCTCCGGCAAGGCACCTGGAAAGGATAACATCCCTGCTGAAGTGCTGAAGTGCTGTAAGGAGATCATCACCACCGAACTGTATGAAGTCTTTTGTCTCTGCTGGAGGGAAGGTGGAGTCCCACAGGACATGAAGGACGCAAACATCGTCACATTGTACAAGAACAAAGGCGACAGGGGTGACTGCAATAACTACCGTGGCATCTCTCTTCTTAGCGTTGTAGGGAAGCTGCTTGCCCGTGTTGTGCTGAAGAGGCTCCAGGTTCTTGCAGACAGAGTCTATCCAGAATCACAGTGTGGATTCCGAGCTAATAGATCCACCACTGACATGGTATTCTCCCTCCGACAGCTGCAGGAGAAATGCAGGGAACAACAACAGCCACTCTTAGTAGCCTTCATAGACCTTACAAAAGCATTTGACTTGGTTAGCAGGGATGGCCTTTTTAAAATACTTCCCAAAATTGGATGTCCACCCCGTCTCCTTAACATCATCAGATCCTTCCATGAGGGAATGAAAGGCACTGTAGTTTTTGACGGCTCAACATCAGACCCCTTTGACATCCGAAGCGGAGTGAAACAGGGCTGTGTCCTCGCACCAACACTTTTTGGGATCTTTTTTGCTGTCATGCTGAAGCATGCCTTTGGAACTGCAACCGAGGGTGTCTATCTCAGGACTAGATCAGACGGAAAACTCTTTAATCTCTCTAGATTGAGAGCGAAGACCAAAGTCCAACTGAAATGCATGCGGGACTTCCTCTTCGCAGATGATGCAGCCATCGTTGCCCACTCTGCTGAAGACCTCCAACAACTCATAAATCGATTCAGCAAGGCCTGCCAAGACTTTGGACTAACAATCAGCCTGAAGAAAACACAAGTCATGGGCCAGGGCGTGGACTCACCTCCCTCTATTACCATCTCCACACAAGAATTGGAGGTTGTTCATGACTTTGTGTACCTTGGCTCAACCATCTCTGACACCCTCTCTCTGGATGTCGAGCTGGATAAACGCATTGGCAAAGCAGCCACCATGTTCTCTAGACTCACAAAGAGAGTATGGCTCAATAAGAAGCTGACGACACATACAAAGATCCAAGTCTATAGAGCCTGTGTCCTAAGCACACTCCTGTACTGCAGCAAGTCCTGGACCCTTTGTGCACGGCAGGAGAGGAAGCTGAACACGTTCCATATGCGTTGCCTCCGACGGATTTTTGGCATCACCTGGCAGGACAAAGTCCCAAACAGAGTAGTCCTAGAACGAGCTGGAAGTTTCAGCATGAACACATTACTGAAACAGCGACGTCTACGCTGGCTTGGGCACGTTGTGAGAATGGCTGATGGTCGGATTCCAAAGGACCTCCTGTATGGAGAATTAGTGCAGGGAAATCGCCCCAGAGGGAGACCACAGCTGAGATACAAGGATATCTGCAAGCGGGAACTGAAGGCATGGGAATAGAAGACCAGTCTGTTGCATCCCCAAGCCCAGAAACATTCTGGTAGGCACCGTCCGAAGAGAAGCTGCGACGAAAGACATGAAACATAGATTACTTGCTCTTTTTTTTTTTTTGCTTGCTTGCATGCTTTTTTATTTGTGTATTTTTACCCTGCCTTTCTTCCCCAGCTTACAAACAATGAAAAACAATTTTTAAAGCTGAAAAATTATTAAACTATTCTAAAACCATCCTTCAAAATTAGATACTCCCATTAGGAAGCCAGCATACCATCAGTAATGGCAACATTAACATTACCAACATAACCTGCACACATGCAGATTTAAAACTCAGCATCATGCAATCCTTGACTTGCACAATCTCTAGCTGGCACTAGCCAATAGGTGCTTATCATACACCCCAATCTTTCCACCTTGACTTCTGGAGCTGCATATAACAGTACTAATAAAAACTAAGCCACCAAGTGAAGAACTACATTTCCAACAACTAAAATACATGATAAAAACTTGATCTATCTGGTCTCCAAGTCAAGAAAACTTTAAAAATAAAAACTATGCAGTGCCATAGCATGACAAGTATATAGTTCTTTCCAATACTAGTGTTTCACTTCAATTTTGCTTCCTGCTCTTTTTTTTAGCAACACTAATAAACACACCACACCTGTATCACGATGAAACAAAGTGACAGCCGGGTGCTAAATGACACTCCATCCCCATGTCTCAGCGCCTTCGCTGATGTTCTATGTCCATATCCCAGATCCTCTGAAGCACCACTAAAATCCACCCAACCTTCCTGCTCCGACCCTGCTCCTGGGGAAGTCCAGCAAACGTTCCATCCAGCAACAAATCCATCCATCTCCTTACCATGATCGAATGTGGCCAGTATCCTGTCGTCCTCCTAGATATTCCAAGGGTGGTAACTGCGTGACGTGCGTACTCATCAGCAGAAGGCACTAAAAAACTTTCTTTGGAGAACACGCCCATACCTTCGGTCATTTTGGTGGAGATGAAGCACGGGACTAAACTCTGAACAAAAATGCCCTTGGGAGCACATTCGTAATGTAGGGCTCGGCTGAAATGGTCCAGGTAAGCCTGTCAGAGTTAAAGGCAAAGAGTTCACATTCTTTGTTTATAACATGGAGAACAAGGGAGATCCAAGCCGATCAGTTANGAATGTCAGCCCCCGCACCTCTAACTGGCCCCTTTGCTAGTTATTAATAATAATTTTAAGTATCACTTTACATCCTTCAATAAGTACACAACTTTTTGAGGTCCCAAGATGTCGTCTGCAAAGCATCTGTCCACAGAGAGCAGAAAATGGCTTTTCATGAAGAAAGGGGGTCCCTACCAGCATTTTGGGAATAATAACAACAGAACACAGAAATTTGTATTGGGAGATTTACCTTGGAGGCTGAATAGGCTGTTATCTGTGGAGAGGGCTGGATGCAGGATGCAGAAGAAATATTTACCACAGCTCCTTTTTCCCTCTCCATCATTCCAGGTAACACCATGAGAACCATCATGTTAGCAGCCCCGATATTGACATGGATAAGCTCCCAGATTTTCTCCTGGGTCAAACTGGCGAAACAGTCTGCGTGGTCATAGGACACACCAACGTTGTTCACTAAAATGCCAATTTCTTTGCCCTTCAGGGCTCGCTCAATGGCCGGGTAGATCTCGCGGCCTTGTCTGAAGTCGGCCACAATAATAGCCGTTTCCACAGCGTAAGACTCCGTTATCTCTCTAGCGACAGCTTCCAGCTTCTCCTTGTTCCGGCTAATTAAGACAACATTAACCCCACGCTTTGCTAATTCCTTAGCATAGGACTTTCCAACTCCAGAGGTGCAACCTGGAACAAACCAAGAAAGGAATGAAATCCAGGTAAACCAGTGCTAAGAAAGTGAATGCAACAGATTTCAATTTCTAATCCATTGCTTTTTTAAATTTTACGTTTCACTGTGGTTTTGATGGTGGCTCAGCGGGGAGAAAAGTAGCATACAAATAAAATAATAATGATAGTAAGCAACATAATTTGATTTATTGTCACTAAAATTTGTACCTCAAGATGAGACAATGCAAAAGGAACAGAAATCCATGCATATTCATGGCCACATACGGCCTTACAATTTATCTTTTGTTTGGCTTGTTCCCTTCACAATAGTAGTATGAGGGGCAGCCAGCTGTGCACCTTTTAGGAACCTCCTTCTCGGGGATATTAAGAACAGTGAGGGGTGAAGGAGAAAGACTTGGTCATGAAAGCATTACAGTCTCCTCCATGACACTGCACTTTAGGCACCTCACGAGAAGGGAAAGGATTCTCTGGAAAAGACAGCAATGCTGGGAAAGGCGGAAGGCAGCAGGAAAAGAGGAAGACCCAATTATAAGATGGACTGACTCCCTAAAGGAACCCCCAAGGTTGAGTTTGCAAGAGCTGAGAAGGGCTGTTGAGGACTGGCCAATTTGGAGATTGCTCATTCATGGGTTTGCTGTCAGCTGGAGGTGACTGGACAGCAGATAAGAACCCACACCACACACCCCTCTAATTTTAAGTAGCTTTGCAGGAGCAACAACAGACTGAAGAAAGAGACAAGCCCGAGGAGGGCAGTCCGGCAGGGGAAGATGTGCGTTGTTTGGCTCACTTTAGCCATGAAAGCCTGGTGGCCCTCTGCATAATGTTCCTACATAAGTACTTCATGAACCGCACTTCTGCCTTGGTGCCATTGCAGCAGCCGCAGGCATGTCCTCAAATTATGCCTGCGTAGCCACTCCACAGGATTTCAGCCGTTCATTTGAGGGGAAATTGGGTTTTTGGCTCCCAGCAAGTCCCGCACCGGGCGCCTCATTTCTTACCTGTGACCACAGCCCACTGGCCGTACCGCTGGACGAGATCGGCCCCGCCGACCAGCCTGGAAAGGAAATGCACCCGGATGAGGGTGCAGGTTTCACGTAGGGCTGCGAAGCACGTCTTGGTGGCGTAGAAAGCCCCCAGGAGGGCCAGCATCTCCGTGGAATGAGCGCAGGATCGGCCCAGCTCCCTCAGCAAGAGGGCGAAGCTGTCCACCGCCGCCATGGCTATCAAGAGGGCTGGAAAAGAAAAG